TCACATTTTTTGAGTTTTTACAATTTAAGTGACATATCCTGTAACCAATAATGAATCGAAAGTAATATCAAAAAAAAACAAATTGAGTATTATTTAATTAAAAAGAACAAAAAAAATAATTTTAGTGAAAAAAGTATACAGTCAACTCTTGTTATAATGAACTCTATGTCCTAGACCTCAACTTCGCTATAAGGTTATAGTGAAGATTTTAAGAGATTTGATTGGCCAATTCGCTATAACAAGAGTATTTTTATTATATTTGTTCAAAAAATTCGTTATATCAAGAGTTCGCTATATCAAGAGTTGACTGTATGCGCAAAATTTTCTGTAATCTATTCTTATCATTATAATATTAAATTAGGATAAATTTAACCTTCACTACTACCCCATCACTGAAAGATAATAATGGAAAAAATAATATATTAGTTATGGCTACAGCTAAAACGATCTATTCTAAAAGTAAAAAAACAAATAGAAAACTAAAAATGAATATAATAATAAACAACTTATATATTGTGCTTACTTGAAAAATAAATATAAGTAAAGAATAATAGAAAAAAATAAAATTGTTATGATATGTAACAGTCCACTCTCTTTAAAAGAAGAGTTTAATAAAAAACATATGCAAATTAGAATTATCTTGAAAATAAAATCATAAAAATACTACCTATCGCTATGTTTCTAGCTCAAAAAAAAATTGTTTAAAATATAATAAAAAAAATATTTAAATGAAATAATCAAAAAAACTTTTTATAAATACAATATAAAAAAGGAAAAAAATAGCAAAAATTTTTTAGAAGAGAGAAATCACACTAAAGTGAATCAAAAATGACACTTTATACAAATGCTTTATATGATTTCTGAATGTCAAATAATTTATATTAGCATTTGTATCAGTTTAATCATTTTACTCTTGAAAAAATAAAAATTGTTATCTGAGATTTTTGTTAATTTCTAGAATTAGTATGGAATTTCTGTAACAATAATTTTTTCTTTGTAATTAATTCAGTGAAATATCTCATAAATTTTTATTTATCATGTAATTAAATTTAATTAATCATAAAATGTCTTTATTTAATGAATTGTCAAAAAAAAGCCACATCTTTGAAAATAAATTAACAATTGATTTGTAATCCTAACTTATTTATATATACAGTATATATAAATAGATGATGATTTTAAAAACAGAAATAATCTACCTCTGTATTCTATAATAACCTTAGACAGCATTTTAAACGTTTTATTTTACGGTTAATGAAAATTTCAAGATGATATAAGCTTTACTAGTTTAAATATTATAAATCTTTTAGATAACTAATATAATTTATATTATCAGATAAAATTTAAAAGAGATGTTTTTTTTGATGAAGATATTGGCTACTCCTTATAAAATAGTTAATAATTGAAAATTTCACATATCACTTGATTATCAACTATCTTTCTAATTTAATATATTAGTAATGTGAACCTAATCATAATTTAACATAATATCAAATTTTATAATTTTTTGCTAGTACGTATATCACACAAAAAAAATTTGTGAAATACAAAATTTATTTGTGTTGAGCTTTAATGATCAACGTCAATATTCTGTGATCAAAAAATTGATCAACATAATATAACATTAAATCAAATTATAAGTGGATTGACTATCTTTGATATTTTGAGCATTATAGAAGGTTTTTTTTTATTTAAGATTATGGGCTATCAGAAACAAAGTTTTTCTTTTTAAACTGGATTTCTTTTTTTTTAAAAGACACTTCACAAAAAAAAATATGTTAACAATACTTAAAATATCAGTAAATAAATAAACTTTTTTCAAGATTTTTAATGACTCAAGAAGTGTATTTGATAAGCATTGCAAATCTAAAATTTCAAGAAAAAGCGAAGTATTTCTTTTTTTTTTTAAAAAAAATAAAAATAAAAATAACATTTTATTTATTATATTTATTTTATTATAAATTAGTTTTTTTTTCAAATATAAATAAATAGATTATTTTTAAAATTAATATTATAACTTGAATGACCTATTTAAGAAATTAATCCTGTATTAGTATTATTTTTTAATTATTTGTATAATGATAATTATTCATTCCTTGAGAAGGCATATCATTTAAATTAAATTCATATGCTTACGTGCTCTCAAATCCATCAAAAATAGATTTGGTATCCAACATGTAAAATATAATATGCTTATAATTATAATACAGTAAATAAGGTATGTAAAAGTAGATGTGATAAGTAAAAACTGTTGGATAAAGTAGGTGATATTAAGCCTAAATACTATATCGTTAAGATAACAAAGCTTATTTGCTAGTATGAAGTTTAAGACGTTAAACTATTAAAAAAATAAATATAAATTTTTTTAAGTTGAAGGATCAGGTTATATTTTAAGAAAATAGATATTAGCAAAGATATGAATTTATGTTATTAAGATTATATTTTATTCAATTATAAGATAGAAACTTATCCTTTTACTAAGGCGACAATACAGGATATTTATATAAAATACAGATATAAAAAAGATATATTTAATAAAATAAAGAAAATAAATATAACTATGATAATAAATATAATAAATAAAATAATGATAAACTATATAATATAACAGTGAAAATGATGATTATAAAGATCATTGGTGATCCTAATTGATGCAGTTATTTATTAATATATATGGATTATCACTAATAGTGGATAAGGTGGTAAAATACATTAGTACCTTCGTATTATAAAAAAGGTTGCTATTAAAATTACATTACGAATCAAATGTTCTTAATTCAATTTTAATAACAAACCTTCCATATCATATCATTAATAAAAATTTTACTTGAAAAATAATATAAAGAAACTGTTTGATTTTTATTTGATGATTTCATTTCAAAATGTAATTTAAATGATTTAATTAAGGTATTATTGAAGAATTTTTGAAGTGTAAAGTGATAGTCTTTGAATAATTTAAGAAATCTACAATTATATATGAAAACCGTTTCTTTTAATTCATCAGATTTACTTATTTTAATAATATCTACTGCTTTAACTGATTTTACAAACTAACAAAAAAAGCAAGTTTATAAGAAAGAAAATATGACTATTATTCTTCTATATCAAATTTGCTTCTTTTTTGATATGAACAAATGAAATGAAGTATCGGCATTCTAAAAAGGTTAATATAAATTTATTATTTATCATGTATAAGAGGCATATTCAAATCTCATTTTGATAAAAAGTTGAAACCTTTCAATGTCGATAGTTTATTTTGATACCTGTCAAAACTCCAGATTTTGCCTAACAACCTCATCTCTTACAATAACCATCATGCATAAATTTTCTTTAGTTTTTATATTATATATGCACTATTTTCTAGTGAGTCATAATAAAAGTGATAATAATAATTATTGAATCAAAAACTTTAAATAATGTGAAATAAATTCTAAAGATTCTTAAATCAAGAAAAATTTTAAATATTAACACATCCTTCAAAATGCAATTACAGTATATTTTGAAATTATATTAAGAAAGGATTTTTTTTAAATAGGAATAAATTTCTTATATAGATCTTTTAATTTTTTTCTTTAAATTATACATTTATTTATGATTTAATATAAGCCTTCAAACTTGTGAAAATTAATTATCGACTTATTCATAAGAAATAAATATAAAAAAATAAAAAAAGAGGAATATCAACTAGAATTTAGTTAATTATCAGAAATGACAACTAACGTGTCATAACTTACAGTATATCATCTTCATATATACTATTCATAATATCAATTATATAATATCAAAATTACTGCTTGGTCTCAAAATTAAAAATTCTGAAGTAAATCTCAGCACAACACAATTTTACTTTTTAAAAGAATCAAATCAATACAATTAAAACCACTAGAAAGAAAATATATAGAACTGAATTTAATAATGATAAAACTATCTATTTCTCTATCAGTTGTAAATATTATAATGAGTGAAACAGATAACCAAAAAAAGTTGCAGCAAACTAATCTCTTTTATTAATTATATATAATAGAAAGTATAGCAAATATAATAAGTATCAAAGCAAAATTTTCTTTATAGCATAGCATGAAGTTAGCTTGTAATATTATGCTGTTATTTCTTTTGATTATAATAATCAAAGAAACTTTTTCAAAATAATTAGTTAAATATAAATTATATAAATTTAAAAATATTAATGAATCTAGGTAGATATTAAAAAGCATAAAAATTGGCTTTATATTATATTCAATAGAAATTATCACTTTTTATAAAAAAAAATAATTAATTAGAAAATTTTCCTTAAATACTAAATAAGTAAAGTATATTATAAAGAAATTTAAATAATTGGAATCACAAAAAAAATCTTTTATAGTATCACTAGTCGAAATACTCTAATTCAGATAGCTTTCATATAGCCCTTTTTGACCCAAATTATAACTGAAAGCCGGTAGAATTCTGTTACTGAAAGGTTTTTTAATTAGTACAGTTTGACTGCCACTTGTATAAATTTCGATCTAGCATTCATATAGCTTTCAAATAACATTCAGATAGCATTTTTATATCAAATTACTGGGCATTTTATATTGAATTTCTGAGTATTTCATATTGAATCACTGTGCATTTTTATATCAAATTGCTGAGTATTTTATATTGAATCATTGTGCATTTTTATATCAAATTTTTAACTTTCAATTATCTGATATCTCATATTTAATCACAAATGATGCAAATCATTAAATTTATTATTACAAATTAATATAACTATTAGCTATACATTCATATTAATAAGATTATAAATTTCTTCTATAAATTACTATTATTACTATCTCTTGCTCTGTTTATACCAACTTTTAACAAATTTCATATTGAATCAATTACCACATTCATAAGTTGAATCAATTACCTGAAAAATAAAAAATATTAGCAAAAATTCAGAAAAAATATTAAATTATGCTATGCTTTTAATATACTCACTACTTTTAATAATATTCCCTACCTGAATCTGCGCCTCAAATTATTCTAGTAGTTGAGAACTCTGCTTCATCCGAACTATACATACCTTGACTTTTGGGACTTCCTTCTATGTCTGAATCAGCTTCATTATGATCACTTTCGACACAAGTTCAGTTCAAAGTATTTAAAGAATGAGAAATATTAAAGTATTGCAAATTATCATTATATACACGAGGTTTCGATAATTGAGCAGTTTATAATATCAAAAAATGCAGATCTAATACATTTTGTAAAAGGTTTTTCAACTAAAAATAAAATAAGCTAATATAATAAATCTATATATATTATAAATGATAAAGACAAATAAATATAAAACCTCGTTAAAATGTCACGAGCGATCATATACACATATAAAATGCTTGCTTGACAGGTTTTTATCATCAGTTTCACTAATTTTAAGGGAATAATACCTATTATCCTGTAATATACTAATCAATTCATCTTGATCATATTCCATAACCTCTGAATTTTTCATCATATAAAGTGATTTTACACCTTTTATTTGGCGAATTTTTTTCTAATTACAAATTATATATATATAAAAAAGTTGTTAGTATGAGTATTAAAAACCAACCAAAATTCATACTTCATTTAGTTGCTTATTTGCATATAATCAATAGTTGTTATCATTAATCTGACCTTTTTTTTGTAATTGATTCAGCTTCTTTTAGACCTATAAAGTGACTTGAGCCACTTGGTGATCTGATTATATGAAGGATTGTAATTCAGCTTCAAAGCTTTGATAAGTTCTAAAATCAGCTTCTATCTTATTTCCAAGTTCTTTTGGCTCATAAATATTTTATTATAGTTCAAATCGCACTCAGTAGGTATTGTCTTTAAAATGATTTTTATTTTCACCTAAATTGCCTATAAGAATAAAAATTTGATAAATGATGATATAAAAGTCATTTATATAAATCATACAACCCTTATACTTTTTCCATCTGCTTCAATAATTCATGCATTATCTTGTGTATAACCTAAGCTTTCATCTGAACTACTATCATAATAATCAGACTTGATTAATCGTTTACTTTTTTTGTTATTTTTTGACGCTTATGTGATCAATTTTCATCTTACCGCATGTTTCTTGACTGATGAAGTGATTTATATCAGGCTAATTTCTCGTTAAGTTGATCATTCTCTAAATTGAATGTCTCATTAATATTCATAAGAATTCTATTTGTTTCCTCTAGATCTTCTATCTTCTTTTGTAATTTTTTATTTTGTGTTTTAATTTTACGTTTTCCAACATTATATCTGGTATAGTTATAAATTATTAATGAATAATGAAAATTGGAAACTTAATTAATATATTTAATTGACAAAGTTATAAAAAAAACTAAAATTAAATCAAGTGATAATCAAATAAATCAATATTAAAAATAACCATTATTGTTTTTTAGCTTATTATCAATATTAGGACTGATTTCAAGAAATGATTTTGGCAGACGGATATTTAGGAGTTTTACTCGCATGCTTGTGATTCTTTAAGCTGTAATTTGACTTTGTTGACTTTCATTTCTTTCTTTACCTTCTTTTTTCTTTTCTATTTCTTCTCTTTCTTCCTTTCTTTCTTTCCTTATCTCTCTTCTTTTATTTCTTTTTTTTCTCTTTTTTCTCTCTCATTCCTCTCTTCTCTCTCTTCTAAAATGAAATCAGGAATTTAAAGACGAAAGCAGTCTTTTGTCTGACTGGATTTTACTTTACAATTCATATCTAGCAAAAACAATTAAATATTAATACATAAATACATGTAAACTGAACTATTTTATAGTAAGCGAAGGATAATATTATAATTTGATTGATAATTCAATTAACTTTCTCTATGGCTTTTTTTTACTGATATTTTCAAAAAAAAAAGTTTATTATTAATCAAACTGAAACTGTAATACCATTATATAAAAGATTTTCTATGTAACTACAAAAAATGTCACGTGTGATATAGTTGAAAAAATCAGTCATGTAAATTTTGTAACATTATTTCGCAGTTGTATCACAAAGATTACTATAAAAAATAAAATAATTATTACATAATCATACTTCTACGTTGCATATTAGCATACTATTAAAATTTTATAGTGAGATTTCATTTTTTTATTTTCTATAATATGCGTACTATTATATTAAACTTTACAATAAATAAACTCATGATTTCATTTTTACTTTATATAATAACAAATTCATTTTCGATTAAATGCAATAAATGTTCATATTTTTATTTAAAATAAGTATAAATGTTACAATTTTATTTCATCTGTAGAAGAAAAACTTTATAGTTTATGTACTAATATTAATGATCTTTCATCAAAATTTATCAAATACAATACAATTATACGCATAATAAAATGGTACGAAAAAGGTCAATATCTAGTGTAATTGATGATAAAAATTCTGTGTTTACTCAATATACTTGAAAAATAGCTTAGTTGATCGTTTAACCAAGAAGAAAGCAAAAAGTATCCTGTTTTGTAATAAATATAAAGGTGATTTGTTGAATCTTACACAAAAATATGATATGAATTAGATGAACTATATAGTATAAATTCAGCAAATGTTTTAGCTAATAAATCATTAATACCTCTACTAGTAATTTATTTGCAAAATGAATTACCCAAATCTTTACAAAATCCTAAAATTCAAGAAGATGTCGATAAATCATATTGATTAAATATTTTAAATGAATAAGTAATTGATGAAGTTCAGCAAGGGTATTCGTATACTGATAACATTTTACCTCAAAAATGCGCACTAAGACATATAATAAATCTTTTAGCTAAGGTTTCTATTGATGACATTGAATAAAAAGATTTGACAATAAAAAAAACTACTAATTTCACGTCTGAAGATCAAAGTACTAATACTTCTCATAATGATGAAGAAGATAATGAACCAGTAAATAATAATGATTTTGAAAACTACTCCTGTCCTCCTTTTGAATCATTCTAAGATCTAAGTGCTGCTTATCAACTAACTGCTGATGATTGATTCTTATAGATTTTATTATAGATTATAAAATTTCGGGCAAGATTCAATATTTCAGAAACAGCAATCGAGTCACTAATAAAATTTATAAAATTAGTATTGAACAAATTTAGTGACAATGATTTTGAAGACTTTTTAGAATTACTTTACAAATTAAGGCAGATGTTTGGCATTGAAATTCAATTTCAAAGTTTTATACCTTATATGAAATGTCACAAACTTTACAAAAAAGTGAAGTAGAAAGTTATCATCAAAATAAAACTCATATCATTATGAAATGTCAACATATCAAATTTTCTAATTCAACAAGATGCCGATTATATCAAACACCTCTATCTAATCAAACAAGATTATTAAATGAAGTTGTAATTCAATCTGAGATGATTTATCTATTTACAAAGATTTGTTAACAATTAGCAATCTTGTATCTTTAACCTGATTCTAAAAGTTCTCTTTGACATTGAGTCAATAGGTCAACTTTCAATAACATTTTGACTGATATATACAATAGACAAATCTGAAAAAGCTTTAAAGACACAAATAATGAGAATTTTTTCTGAAGTGAAATGACTGATTCAAATATTAGCTTAATGATAAATCTAGATTGGTTTCAGCCATATGAGGATTTGATTTACAGCACTGATGTAATATATGTTGCTATATGTAACTTGCTATAGAACATCTGATTTAAGCGTGAAAATCTACTAATTCTTGGCTTATTACCTGGTCTAAATAAAGAGAATTTACATAAAATAAATCACTATTTGGCACTGATTGGTAACGAACTAGAGTCATTCTAGACTGGAGTGACTTTAAATAAAACATACGAAAGTCAAGAAGGAAAAAAAATTCACGTAGCATTAATACTTATTTTGTGCAATGTTCCTGTAGCCAGAAAATATGTGGCTACATTTTAGCACTTGTTACATATCATCAATACAAGAAACATGCAAATTATGAGAATTGGCAATACAACTTTGTAGGAATGAATAATATGTATGAATGGTTCATTACTCGTGATAAAACAAATATTTTCAGAATGCACTTGCATGATAACGTTGCAAATCAGATGCTGCAAAGAAGCATTTTATTAGAAACACAGATGTTAGATGATCTGAATTGCTTCATCTGCCATATTTTGATCCAATTCAATTTTTAATCATCGACCTAATACATTGCCTATTTCTAGGTATTGCAAGGTAGATAGTGAAACGTATTTGGGTCAATGAAGGTATTTTGATACCAAACATTTTAAATATTATTCAGAAAACAATAGACAGATTTCAAGTGCCATCTGATATTGGTCGTATTCCAAATAAAATTGACTGTGATGAAGAATTTTTGAACTTCACTACAGATTAGTGGAGAATATTTTTTATGATATATACTACTGTTACTCTTCGAGAGCATCTTCTAGGTCATGATCAAAAATTCTCCATCATTTTGTGAGAATTTGTACAATTTTAGTAAACTATATTTTAGAAATTGATTCAGTTAGAAAAGCACATTGGAGATTGATTGAGATTGTGAAGTTAATTAAGAAACATTATAGAAGAGACAAAGTTATACCAAACCTTTACCTTTCACTTTACTTGAGCATATGAACTGATAATTTTGGACTCTTATACGCATTCTAATGCTTCTCGTTTGAGCATATGAATGGTATATTAGGTAAACTATTTTTTTTGTTTACTGTAATGCTTCTAAAAATGGTAAATAATTATAATATTTTAAATTTTAGGTACCTTACTAAACAGTTATAGGAAAATTAATCAGAGCTTATGTGCCGATTGATGTCTAATATTATTCTAGTTAAATTTACAAAATATTCAATAATCATCAATTACTAGAAGTGAGCTATTCTCAGGTGAAATGATGAGACCTATTTCTGAAAATGTAATAATATCAGATTTAATGCTTAATTTATTAGTCGAATACTACATAGCAACCTATGAAACACTGGAATTTTGAAGACTATTTGGAGAAGGTCACAAAGATTCAATAGTAATTGGCATCAAAATAAATTAATTTGGTAGATGCTAAATTGGCTCTGAGATATTTAGTTTGAATATGCCATCTTATCACTTGAGAAGCTCATTTATTTTGGCAAAATTTATAATGAAAGACGGTGATACTGATTGTTTTCCTAGCCAAGTGCAATTTTTTTTGTTCACAAGGTTAATTTATCAGATGGAGAACTAGAATATAATTTGGCATTCATTCAGTGATATAAACATGTAACAAGTGATCGATACTATTTCAGTATTGACAATGATAAAGTTTGTAATATTGAGTTGTGGGATACAAAGTTTTACTCTGAGGGATGCAATTGCATTATTCTGGTATATAACAGAAAATGTGAAGAATTATTTGGCCGTAAATCCAATTAATAGAAAACTTAATATTCATTAATATTGTATATAAAGTATATAAAGTGAAATTTGTATAATTTGTATTCTTTTTACACATAACTTTAAACTTAAAAATTCG